GGGGGGGGAGTTGCTCCTTTTCTCATAGGGTGAAATTTTATCACTTTCTCCATTAACTTTCTCTGTAACCCATTGCATTTGATTTCCACCCTTCTTTCAAGTAATGAGACTTCAACTGCCACCCTTTTAGTGAATTATAATGTCCAATCTAGAATATTGTAACGCACCTTTTTGATTGGTGTAGAAGTCAACTACAAAGATCCGGTCACCACATCTTCTATAAAACTCACATTTGAAGTGACCACCCCCCCCCTCCCAAGCAACATGACTATTTTTGTGTTGCTGGAGAGCAGGAAGATTTACCGCTCCTTTCCTATATGTCAGGTGTCCCCAAACTAAGGCCAGATGAGGCCCTCCAAAGTCATTTACTTGGTCCCAACCCTGAACTTTAGACTTAGAGTCACCCTAATTCTGAAATGACTTGAAGGCACACAACAACAACCCTAATTAACTTGACTATCTCATCAGCCAAAATTGGGCCCATACTTTCCATTGAAAGTAAGTTTATGTTGGTTAAAATTGAAAATTGTTTAAAAAGATAAGTTTATGTTGGTTAACATTGGTCTTCATTTTAAATATTGTATTGTTCTTTCATGTTTGTTTGAGAGGTTTTTGCACTACAAATAAGATATGTGCAGTGTGCATAGGTATTCATTCATGTTTTTTCCCCAAATTTTATTCCGCCCCCTAGAACACTGAGGGACTCTGAACTAACCCTCAGCTTAAAAAGTTTAAGAACTCTTGCTGTAGGTTGATATCCTGCAGATCTTTTGTACATTCTTAGTATTGCCTTACCAGGTGATCCAGTGGCAGTGAATCACCATGGACTGAAGAATGGAATTCAGAGGATTGTGCTAATGGCAAGGGTTGTATTGTCCTGTATACTATGATCATACAATATCTAGGTGTGTAGTCTGTACTTTTCTTTTTTCTTTTTCTTTTTTTCACTCAAATATGTTTGGATCAATAAATGGGTCTACTGGAATTATGGCATTGGCCATATTAGAAATGCTGTGCCCCCCCCCCCCAGAATTGAAATGTTTAGCAACAGAATGTTGCAATATGGCTCCTTGTGCAGATCAGTGGTATGTCCCCTTTCCTGCCGATTTCTGCAAATTTTGACATTGGTGGAATTTACACATTATGTCTTGTAGATCATGCATTGAATGTGATTTTCCTGCTTCTTGGCAGGAGGTTGGATTGTATGGTCCACGAGGTCTCTTCCAACTCTGTGATTCTATGATTCTATGATTCTATGTTGTGTTTAGTGTGGGATTTTACTCTTAAAAGTTGTATCTTTTGCACATATATGCACAATGATGTGATACTGGGTTTTTCAGTTGGTAATTTTGTTGCAATGCACACTAGTATTTTCTCTGTAGAGTACATGGCTAATGGAAAGCAATGATTGGAATTTTATTAATAGCTCTAGCAAGACATGGTGAATTAGCTATTAAGGGGTAGCTGTCTTTGAATATATATAGGAATTGCATTCCAAAGGTCTTTCTTTTGAAAAGTTTGAACAATCATTCTAAATGTCAATCATGGATAGTGGGTGAAGGAGTATTCATCAAGTGGAACAAGAGAGATTTTAATTACAGCCTTTTTTCTGTCTTTTTGTAGAGCAGCCTTCTCCCACCTAGTGGACTCCAAATATTCTAATGAAAAGCATTCATTCTCTCTAGTCAACATAGCCCAATAAATAATAATAATAATAATAATAATTATTATTATTATTATTATTATTATTATTATTTCTTACCCACCTCTCCTCATGACTCAAGATGGGTTAGAAAACAAATTATTATTATTATTATTATTATTATTATTATTATTATTATTATTATTATTATCTTTATTTGTACCCCGCTAGCATCTCCCGTAGGACTCGATGTGGCTCACATAGGCCGAAGCCTCAAAACACAATACAACAAAACATAATACAACAACAATACCAGAAGCAAATCAAAACGGTTAAGCAAATTAAACAACAACAATAACAATACATCGGGACACTTTAAATACATAAACACAGCAAAAACACTAGAATTACACACACTAAAATGTAGCTCCATAAAAGATACATACCAAAATGTATCTCTATGAAATACATTTTGGTATGTATCTTTTATGGAGCTACATTTTGAAATACATATTAAAACAGACAAAACAGAGATTAAACAAAGGATATGCATTAAAATTCAGGTTTATGTTTAAAGACTGTCTGGGTAGGCCTGCCAGAAGAAGCAGGTCTTCACTTGTGTTATAAATTCTGACAGCTGATTTAGCTGTCGAGCTCTACTGGCAGGTTGTTCCACAGCCTTAAGGCAGCAGATGAAAAGTTCCTCTGGGTGGTGGTTGCCAGTCAGGTTCTGGCTGGTTGGAGCAGACACCCCCAAGAAGACCAGAGTGTGTGGGGTGGATTGTACAGAAGAAGGCGATCCTTTATGTAACCTAGACTCAAACCATATAGGGCATTAAAGGTCAAAACCATCACCTTGTACTTTGCCAGTTGTAAGCGAGTGGAGTGACTTTAGAATAGGTGTAATAAGCTCACTCCTAGATGTTCCTGTAACCTATCTGGCTGCCGTATTTTCAACCAGTTGGAGTTTCTGAGCTCGGTACAAGGGTACAAGGGTGTAAAGTGCAATGCAGAAGTCCAACCTTGAGGTTACCAGTCGGTGCACTACCATCTTCAGGTCCTCCAAGTCTAGAAAGGGGCACAGGTGGCAGATCAGTCAAAGCTTATAGCAAGCACTCCTGACCATTGTATCTACTTGGGCTGACATTTGGAGAGACGGATCCAGGAGCACTACCAGGCTAGAACACAGGGGGAATGTAACCCCATCCAGAACTGGATGTAACTCCATTAGGATGTAACTCCTAATGTAACTCCATTAGGACTCTTGATGGCAAGTTCCTCTATTTTGTCTGGATTCAGTTTCAATTTGATTTTCTTCATCCAGCCCATTAACTCCACCAGGAAATTCAGAGGTGATACGCTATCCTTAGTTGAAGCTGTTTTTGGAGGCATGGAGAAATATATGTGGGTTCCATCAGCATACTGATAACACCCCACCCCATTCCTACAGATTATTTTTCCAGGGCTTCATTTTGTAATTATTAAAGAGCATTGAGGATAGAATGGCACCTTGTGGGACACCACATAACAGCTCCTTTTTGGAGGAGCAGCTATCACTAAGCACCACCATCTGGAACCTGCCTGGAAGGTATGACCAGAACCACTGCAGCACAGTGCCTCTGCTTCCCAGCACCTCCAGGCATTAGGGCGTATCCAAAAATTCCAGAAGGATACCATGGTTGATGGTACCAGAGGCCGCTGAGAGTTCTAGAAGCACCAACAGGAACACATTCTTCTTGTTGATATTGAGACGGAGGTCATCCACTAAGGCGACCATCAAAGTCTTAACTCCATATCTTACTCTGAAGCCGGTTTGAAATGGGTCAAGGAAGTGCGTGTCATCCAAGACTGTCTGGAGTTTTAGCGCAACTGCCTTCTCAATCACCTTGTCCAAAAAAAGGAAGGCTGGACACTGGTCTGTAATTATTAAGGTCCAGGGGATCCAGGGAGGGCTTTTTCAGCAGCAGTCTAACTACTACTGCTTCTTTTAAACAGAATGGAACGTTTCCCTCACTGGGAGATGCATTAATAATTTGTTGTATTTGAGGTTGAACTGCATCTCCTCCCTGGATTACCAGCCAAAATGGACAGGTATCAAGAAGGCAGGGTTTTTTTCTCTTACATGCACCAGCAGCTTGTCCACATCAGCAGTAATCACCAATTGAAACTGGTCCAGTGTAATCCCACTTACAAAGTTGCTGGATACCTCTACTCCAATGACAGCATTTAAGTTGGTTCTTATGTGATATATTATATATGCAAAGTGGTTGTTAAGAGCATCACAGCGAGCTACTGAAGGTTCTAACAAAGGATTCGGAGTGGAGGACACCTCTCACCACTCTATACAGCTCAGCTGAATGTGAGATGCAATGCTTGCAAAGAGGAAATCTTTCTTCACTGCAAGTATTGCCACCTCATAGGAGTGAAGGTGGCCTCTATTGCCTGGGATGATGGGAAATGTAGCACAAAATACTGGAAATCACCAAGTTAGAGAAAGTTTCAATAGAACATTGTGTGTGTGTAAACATGAAAAAGGTGTGAAGAGAACTGCAACTTCTTGCTTCTAATATACTTATCCCAATGAATGTTCCAGTGTTTGGAGGTCTCCCTGTCCCCCCCCCCCCCCCAGAAGGCATTTTGAACCATTCTGCAACAATGTTTGTATATTGGTAGATTTAAAATTGTATTGAAATACTTTTAATGTAAGCCCTTTTGAGTCTCCTTGCTGAGAAAAAAGCAGTGTATAAATATACACGAGTGATGATGATGATGATGATGATGATGATGATGATGATGATGATGCTTGGGGTTTGGGGTATTTTAATTATGTGGAAACTTTGGGTTCCAGTTTTGCCAGCCTAGCTGTAATCCAATGCCATAATGACAAACCACAGGGTGAACAATTTAATACACGATCACTTGCTGAAAGTTTGGAATGGATTCAGGAGCTCTATTTTGAATAAAACATAATGTCCATTATTACAGGAATTTCCATGGGGTACTGAGAATATCTCTTGCTCAAGCTCCACTGAAATGAATTGTGCAAAAGGTATCTTGATTGATCTCATAGAAGGAGAGAGATCTATAAAGATAATCAGATGTGCTGAACACTCTGCAACCATCATGGCTCCTGTGGCTTGTGTTTATGCAACACACAATACACAGTAAACAAAGAGTGCATTGCCTTTGAGGTTTCTTAATAACATGACCTGTTGTTGGAGAGTGGGACATCACAGAGCATGTTATACAGTTTGTTTGGTGTGACTTGAATAGATTTCTTTCTTTCCTCTCTGCAGGACTTCCTTTGAGTTCTAAAATGGCTCTGCAGAGTTCTTTCAACTGTTGGAATGGAATGACAATCAAGCTGGGACAGGTGTGTGACTTCACCAGAGACTGTGCTGAAGGAGAGGATGAGGGACAGCAATGCAGTGAGTATTTTCAGCATTAAGGTTTTACAAAGAACTATCTAATGCAGAATGTGCAACTACAAACTCCTTGAAGGGCCCCAAACACCACTGTTCTTGTGACTGCAAAATAAATAAATAAATCAGTTTTTTTTTTTTAAAAAAAAGCTGCCCTACTAATGCCATCCAACAGTTTCTAAGAGATACGGAGGCATTTGCACAGTGTTTTGGGGGGTGGTCTCCCTGCCGCCTTAGAAGGTTTTTTTTTTTAGAATTATGAGGCAAAAAAGCACTATCCCACAGAGTCAGACATGACTAGACTTAGTGTCAAAGGGAAACCTTCACCTTTACCTATGCATAGTGACACTGGGAAGGGCAGGGGAGGAGAATTCCAGCACCATTTAATAGGCTTGTGCAATTTAGTTGGAGGGCAATCTGTTTTTTTGTACCCAAATTTCATTAGGTACCCAGATCCATTTTCAGAGGTCTCTCGAAAATCAGCTTTTAGTAAAAATCTGTTTTCAGGTAGGCAGCCAAAAGATCAGGGAAAATCCAGCCCAGTGGCAGGAATGGGGAACTTACAAGGCTCCCCTTTCCATTCCTGAGATCCTTTCCTTTCTTCCTTTCGAGGGAGCCTGGGTTTGAAGAATGGGGTTAAGGAAGCATGAACTGCATGCTCCTGAATAGAAGGGAATAAGCCATGCCCGGCAGACACATGGCCCATTTTGGGTAAAAAAAAAAAATGAAGGCTGATACCTCGCTGTTACAGCCATCTGGAGAAGCCAAAGAAGCCAAAGGAAGACGACTAGAATGGATCCATACACAAGTCTACCACTTATCATACTAGCAATATCAGGTTGCTAGAATTTCTGATTAAGGGAAGGAATTGCAGGTACAACATCTAGATCCCCATGAGGGAGAAGTGTCAAATGCAGAAATAAAACTTCGATGGATTTCAGCCATAAAGTAATTAGCTTTATTTACATTATTTACACAAAGTTCAATGCGGCACAGAGCAAACGCGTCTGCTCAGGCAAAGTCATCTCGGCAAGATAGCAATTAAAACTTCTCTAATTAGTAATGGCACGCCTCTCAAATAGTTTTTTGATGACCAAAGTCTGGTATCATCGGAGGAAGTAGGAAATAATTTCATATTTGTCCTTTTAGGAAAAACTCAAACTCTGTGATCTGTTAACTCTACACATGCTAGGCAGCTTTTACAAACACATGATCACAGCTTTAAAAACATACACTTTGAAATCTCCCAATAAATCAAACACAGTAATAACAAAAAGACCTCTAGATGTTGAATGTCTCCTGAGATGAAATTCTCTTGGATCTCTAGCACAAATTCTCCTTCCTAACACCCAGAAGTTGGAAAAGTTACTTTTTTGGGTTACTCTTTGACTTGCTTCCTCCTTTTCCCCTCACTTCCCCAATTATCTTGTCACTCTGGCTAGTATCAGTTCAGATGTTAAGCAATGAACACCATCATTTTCATGCCCATTGGACAGCACAAAATTCAGAATGATGGGGGCAAGGTATGGACCTCCATGCTGCCTTTGCTCAGGAAAGCAAAATGGCAGTGTAAACAGGAAGTGGAACAATTGTTTATGCTGGCCCAAAACACAGACAAGTCCCAGAGTTTCAGGGAAGCTCCTGAGCACTTTTAACGAAATCTTTCAAAATGCCTAAATTCCTAGCTTGGCAAAGAGTGCATTGTTGAATATTGTTCATATCTGGACCTCTTATATTTGCTGTGTTCACAGTCCCTTGGTACAATGGATAACTCGGTCCCTCCTTACCATCAATATGGAAAGTTTCCATGCTTTGTCATGTTTAGCCATCATATGTAAGGTCTCCAGGGATGTATACACAAGGGAGATGGGGATTTCTACCCCCTCCCCTTTTAAAGTTTCTTTAAGTTTCCAAATTTCTAACACTGCAGAGTGTGAGCGAGTAAAAACAGTTCTTACACCAGTTCTCCTTCCTGCACTACGTCTAAATGCCGAGTTAAAAGTTTTAAGTGAAACTAATGCTAGAAATTAAGTGATTGAAAAGAAATTATATTTGCAGAGATAGAATTCTTCTTCGATGGATGCCCCCATTTCCCCCTCAAGTCACACACTTGAATATTTATAGTATTAAAGAAAGGTGAATGTTGAGTAAGTGTAATGTGTCTATTCTTTGGCTAATCCCCTTCAATTTATAGTGGAGGATTAGACACAGAATAGTCAATCTTATTATGAGAATTAATACAATGGAGAAATTACAAATAAGTGGGAATTACACGTGGGAATTCTAGGTGAAAAGAAATAGTTCTTCAACAAGGGTTAATAGTGGAACCACTCTAAAGTCTGGAAAAGTTACTGTAGCAAAAGAAGAAAGAGGTAGGCAAGGCTAGGTGATCACATGAAATAGTACAGAAAGCCTGAATTATAAAGCTAAAACACCATCAAACACAGTGATTCAGGCTTCACTCACTGTGTGTGGGAGGTGGAACCATGAGAAATGAGATCCAGGGAATGAGTTTTCCTGTTATATTCTCTTGTTGCAGGAGGAAATGAGTTGTATGAGTTTTAGAAAATACTCAATGAGATGACTGCAACATACTGACAGTTCTACAGAGACCATTTTAAGACTGGAAAAAAAACCTGATTCATTTGAAGTATACTGGTAGATGTCAGCTTGCAGAAAACTACCCACAAAGGAAATAATAATAGACCATTTCTGTAATAATCCAGCCCTCCTCCTCAACATAACTACTGGAACTTTTCTGTAACCTGTCAACTAATTTGTGCAGCATTTTCTGGATTATTCTCTGTGTTGCAGATATTATTCTCCCATGTTGTAATTCTCTCCACTCTGCGCAATTTCATGATTGGTTTACTAAACGATGCAATCTCTTCTTATAGCACAATAATCTTTCTGTTTCTTTCTGTAGCAATTTCATTATTAGCTTGTTAGATACCCACCCCCACCCCTTTGCCACATAACCATTGTACAAAACATGCCTAGAAAAAGCAGGTATTCTTATGAGAGACATCTGTTGTAGTAGGGAGACCAAAGTCATTCATTTCCAGTGAGCAGGAGAACAGCACAGCCTAGATTACATGGAGAGCTCACACTGATACCTTTCCACAGTTTTCTTCCCCCTCCTCTTTCATTTCTTGGGAATTGTACTCATACTGAAAGTGCATACAAATATCACTTCCAGCACTTTTGTGCCGAGCACACCCACATAAGTGCAAGAGAAAATTATTGTGGCCAGATATCCTTCTTTCCTGCCATTTTGTGGAAGCTGCCAGCTCTATCTCATAGAGTGTGTCTAAAAGCTGACTCACAACTTAGACATACTCCATAGTATCTAAATATGCATCATTGGATGCTCATGTTATGCCATTCTATCAAAACAGGTAGGATTCAATGATTAATCTCTGCTGTTGGAATGGTGTGATATAGCAACAAACCATATCTCCACTGTAACTTTCTGAATGACCCCAGTTCTGCAGAGCTGTGAAACCCTCTGGAGCCAGTTTTGGATGTTGTAGAGCACTGCTTCTTAAACTGTGGGCCCCAACCCCAAGTGGGGTCCCCAAGCCCTATGTTAAGGTCAGCTACTGGCTGTTTTAGACACATTTTTCTGAATGTCATCTACTGGCTGTTTTAGACACATAAACAAATCTGTTATGCGGTGCTTACAGTAGACTCTGCAGAAGATGCTTCAGCTGTATTTCATGAAAAGGAAAATCAGCCTGTTTAACAAGCCTTGCAAATGCTGACTTGTTAATACTAAATGTCTGATTTTATACCTATTTTATATACCAATATGTACTGTACCTAGTGCAACATAACTATTTCTCAAGCCAAAAAGGATCCCAAGTGGAAAAGTTGAAGAAGACCTGCTGTAGGGGATGGAAAGTTCAAAAATGTCCACCAGCTGTATGTTGAATCTAGCTCTGAAACTTTAGAGAGCTCTCACCAGTTAGAAGTGACACTGCCTAGCTAGCAGAACCAGAGGTCATATTTAGTGCAAGCTTCCTTTATTCCTATAAAACACAAGGATAATGTATAGCTACAGCTGCCTAATCTTTTAGAGGTGTTAGCCAAGCCTGTTATGATTTTATGAATTTCTGGTGGTTCTGTTCAAATATTATGACATTGGATTGAGAGGACAACTTCACCTGCAAAAAGTATTGCAAGATATGAACTTTCTCAGGACCCCTTAACTGATTTATTATGTGATTAATGTAGAAAAATGGATGTCTGTGGCTTGGAGTTTATAGATCTATTACATTCCAACAAAGAGAAATGTTACAGCCCACAGTGGGAATTAGAATTTAGCAAATAGCAGAAAAATAATAACATTTTACGGATAAATTTATTCAGTATTATGCTGTATATGTGAACTGAAAAATTACAGATGTATCCAGTCTGATGCATTATTGCCATTGCTATAATTAGTAAATTATAGTAATAAATATAGTAATGAATATTGATGATGTTTATAAGAAGGGGGGTTATTTGAATTAAACATCATTAGCTTTGTTTGTATTGCACCACCTCCTTATAATTAATAGTAAATCAATATTGTCATGATAGTAAACATTTTAGCACTCAAAACAATCACAGCTAAATGTCTGAACAGGCTTTATTGAAAAGAATGGCACCTCAGGTGTTAAGTAGGATTAAAATGGGAAATTATGTAGTATTCAACAATCCATCACATCACCGTTTCAATGAAGTAAAGCAAGATTAATCAGAGACATACTGTGATCACAGTGGATTGGTTTTTATATATTCATTAACCATTTTGTGAGAATTGCATATGTTTGGATATGCAAACAGTTATTTTTCAAAAAACAAAAACAAAAACAAATCACAAACTAGTTCCAGATTATTTTTAAAAATGAAAAATTCTCATAATCTGTCCCAATAGGGAGAGCAGTTCTAAACATCTTCCTTCCTACATGTGAGAATGAAGTAAGTGAATGTGTATTCCTACTGAGAAGTAATTAATTACA